ACGCTCTTCTTAATACACCCCAGCATATCCTTTCGGTAAGGGACTCACAGGATAAGAGTGTAAGAAATGAGACAAGGACAAATAGATCTCCCTTCCAATGCCTTCCTGATTCCGTCAACCAAGAAGTATGGACTTCCTGCATTGGAGAATTCCTCTGGACTGTCTGACTTAATAGCACCCAGGTACATTTCCTCACTGAAGTGATATAATTCCACTTTAAAGCCATTTACGTTTGTGGGTTTTCATAAAACCTTTGGCACTGAATTCCACAGATTTATTGTGCATTGTGTGAAAAAGTATTTCCTTTATTTTGTATTAAGTCTGCCCAATAACTGAATTTGGTGTCATGTATTCTGTTATGAGAATAGTGAATAAATCATCCTTTATTCACTTCCTCTTAAGATTATGGCATTACTGACAGCCTTTAGTTATCACTTGTCCATGACAGAATGTCCTAGTATGTTTATTGCCTTCTTGTATCTTATCATATTTGATTATATGTTTTATGAAATTGAACAAATAAGAACTGCATGCATCATGGATTTCCTTGGTTGCGTAATGTTGCTCTCAGTGGTTTTCTCCTTCATTTTTTTTCTGATCTCTCCTAATGGACTATTTGCTTTGTCTATGTTGCTGAGCTTCAAGTCTTGTTTTGTTTTTTTTCAGAATACTCTCCTTTATTACAACCGACAGGCTAAATATTCTTCTGAACTATGTAATTTCCCTTGAAAAAAAAACCCACTCCTTCAGAAGACTGATTCTGAATCTGTCACCCTCTTCCAGGATATTCCTCTTTCTACACCTTGGAAAGAATTGCAAGTTGCTTTTATAAGCATTCTAGTTATTTATTCCCGATCTGTTCTTGTTTTATTGTCTGGTGAGCTTTTTTTTTCTATATTAAACCCATTATAATTTTTATGCCCATGTTGTTTGTAAATAAGAACATGCACATTTTTATATCTCAAGAGAATTCATTTCACTGTCATCAAGACTTACCATTAGTTTGTGTCTGCCAAACGGCATCAGATATGCCCCACAGAGCAGAGAATATGAAAAACACAGCAAGCTGGTTAGGATGAGGTTTCCACAGCAGTAGTGCTATTATACTGGCAAAGTTTGTAACTGCAGCTGTCAGTTTAGAGAAAAAGAAAAGAAATACAAATAATTATAAACAGGGCAGATGATAGGACAGGTAGCTATACTTGCAAATTCTTCCACCAACTAAAACACAAGGCAATTCTTTTCCACTCACTAAGTTGGTATCACACAAAACACAAGACAACCCTGTCCTTTAACAGTCTTTAATTAATAATACTGAGCACTGTTTTAAACTCAGAGATCCTCTGAGCAGATATGGTTTTCTCCTAAAAGTCAAGAACAGTCACTGGGAAAACCCAAACCTAAATATCATTGAGTAGGAGAAAGTGCCACAGAAATGTTTGGAATCCTGGAGTAAGCCATGTGGCAGGGGAAGGGAAATATTGTTCCTGTTTCTTTCTATAGTCCTTAAACTTAGATTTCCTTTCAGGGCCACAGGAGATAAGTAAGCATATATGAAGGGTCTGCCGTCTTTCTGTTTTCTTTTTGCAGGCAGAATATAGATTAGTCAAGAAAAGCCTGTTCAGGAGACTGAGGAGCTCAAATGTCTTGGTTTACTAAAAACATATTTTATTTCATTATTGCTTATTTTAAATCCAAAATTATTTTATTGAGTGAAACATATGCTAAAGACAGAAATATAATTTTTAGAAACACTGAATGAGTAACTGCAGCATGAAGGACTCTCAATTTCTTCTTTTTCCAGGTTTAAAAATCTCTGTGGAGGACATGTCCAGAAAGATGCACACAAACTTATGAAAGTAAGGTACTCTTCACTCTGAATATCTTAGTGGCTACTGGGACACAAATGAAATATTTCTTGATACTTTTCCATCTCCGGTTACTCACTGGAACAGTATCCTTGAGAGAGAAAGATGTTTGTAATTATGCAAATCTCTTCTCATAGCAACCTGAAAGCTGTTAGCCAGAATTTATTCTAGCCTGACCAACTAGCATATTTTCACCATATAGAGCATATAGGTAAAATTACACTGTTCAACCTTTAAAATTGGTCCTTAAATGATCAGGATGGTTACTGAAGGTTCCAAGTTCACTGATAACTCTCAATCCCAAATTAATAGTATCTCTTAGAAGGTTCTCTCTAGGTGTTCTTGTGTCATAAGTGTAAAGAGGTTTGATATGGATGGAGAAGTCCTTCTCAGCTATAGATATCTGTATTGCAAGATTATTTATCAGCACTTCCATTAGAGCTTTAGTGCTGTTTCTGAGTAGACAGGGCTCTCATAAGCAGGGTGCACTATACCATCAGCAAAGCAATTTAAGGCTTGAATGCAGCCGTTAACCATGCTGCCTCTCTTCTCATGAATCATGTTTGCTTCCAGATCATTTTGATTTTAACTGACAGCTGTTAACAAGATCACTCTTTGTCCTGCATGTAAGCAGGTGGAGGCTAACACAGGATTTGACATACTGCATGAGATCATCAGTCCTTCAAGTGACATTACGTACCTATTGCAAATAGAAGTTTTCTTCCTGTGAACTGAGAGATCTTTCCAAAGAGCAGAGAGCAGAGAGAATTTGTAGCTGAAAAACAGATCATCACAAAGCCAACATAATGTATCCCCAGGGCACAGGTCACGTAGGTCTGGAAGAGAAGAGACAGCAGTGACACATGAGCAGGTAAGTTGGACTAGATGATCTCTAGAGGTCTCTTCCAACCTTAGCTATTCTGTGATTCTGTGATTCACTTTGGTGAAAATATGCAGCTGAGGTTCAAGGGTCTTAGCCTGAGTATTTAGTAAATAGCCAGCATGGACACAATCAAAGAAGCACACCTACAGATTCTGCAGACAAGTCTCTGGAATACTGACATAACTGGTCTTCAGCAGTGTTACTCCTACCAATTCCCAATCAGTTTGGGACCAGTTTGCCTTGCAAACATGGCAGTAACATTGAAGGAAAGAAATTGGAGCACTGCTATCCATAAAAATAAACCTTCTGGTGGTGGCACAAAAAAAAAAGTGCTGTGCTCTTCCCTTTATAACCTACAATACAAGAATCAACAGTCACCAGCACTATAGCTGTTAAGGAGCAGCTCCCAGGAAATGAGGAGGCCTTTAACTATAAGAACCTACAAGTAGTACTCTGCCCTCTGCTTATATGTAAGCTTTAAAAGCTTAAGTGTCAAGTAAGCAGTTCAGGAGATTTGTTCCCTTTCTTTGGAGCCTTTCTCAGCAAACGTCTGGAGAACACACCTGGTGGGCACCTAGGTTTTATAGAAAAACTGGAGGAGCAGAGGTGGTTCTGATCATTTCAGACTACCAGATTTTGGAACCTGTTGGATTTGTGACTGGTGAGGGCTTGCAATGAACTATTTGAGTTTTGCCTTCTTATTGTAAAGGGCTTCAGAATAAAATCTGTGGTATGTGTGCTGACTTGCACTCACACAAACTCTGGGAAAACCAGAATGAAGGGTGATATAAAAGTTTTGCAGAGTTCTGGCTTGTCTCCCAGTTTGTTATTTATAACCAGCTGAAAAGATTGAACCTGTAGCTCTCTGCTGTGGCCTCTACGGATGAGTTAAGATCTCCTCAATATTCTTTTTAACGCTATTCCAAAGGACATGTTTATTGATGGCCTCTCTTTTCTGAAGATGTCACTCAGTTCATTCAAGTAGAAATAAACAGTAATTTGGCTAACCACAAATTGCCATTGAGAGTAACTTGATTTAACAAGTAAATATAGATCAGATGCGATAGACACAAAGGCACAAAGAACAATATCAGGCACACACAGATTTGTCATTGTCATTGTCATCCACACCTTTGTGTAGTCACCAGCAAGAAATCCCTGTTCAAACCCACTGTACATTGTCAGAGGGATTAGAAGACACTGTCTTTTATCTTTAAGTTGCTGGAAAGTTGCTAGGAACGTAGACCAAAAGGATGGTGTCTTTGTTATTTCTCTCTCAGTCTCTGCTTGGTCTGATTTGATCTGGTCCAGAAATATAACAATCAGCAACACAGCTAGCACACCACTAGCTGCAAAAACAAAACAAAAAAAGTTCATGAAAAAAAATGAGGAATGCTAGAAGAATGATGGGAAATTGCTTGCTGCTGTTATTGTTCTGACTTAGTGCTTAGCTCTCTATGAGATGTTTTGGCAGATGAATTTGATTCCGCTTCAGTGTAAAGGCCATTTCTGTGTAAACAAGAAGGCCTGATCTAAATTCAGATCTTCTGCATACAGCTTCAAACCTCACAAATCCCCTCTCCTTAACCGTGGCTTGTCTGTTGTTACAGCCGCCAGGCCAGCTGCACTGCTGCAGAGGGTGATGGCTCACCCTTCCAGGTCAAGGCAGAGGTCCCAGGGACAGGGAGCTGGCTAGAAAAAGCTCCCTTTGGATCTATTAAAAGGTTTTAAATCAGCAAAGGAGAGGAATATTCACTTTTAGTGCCAAAGTATTCATGGTAAGGGGGGAATCTCCCTTCAAATACATGGAAAATAAAATAAAGGACTAGAAGTAGAACTGCTGTCTTAGACTGCAGTATATCTTGGTTCTTCTTGGTGCCTTTTTTGGCTCTTTTTTTTTTCTAAGCAATGCTTTTAATTAGGAGAATGTACTATTTTTAAAGATTTGAAAGATGATAGTGAGCAACTCAGAATCACTTGATAAAGATGGATGCTACACCTATAACCTCCTAGCAGAAATAGCATGTAAAATAGCAAAATGGGTAGGTAATCAACAAATTATTGTGTATGTATTGGTCTGTTTGTTGCTTTTCAAGTAAATCAATAGGATTTCATTTATCTTGTCAATACGATAATTGCGGCTCATAATATACAAGAAGCAGCAACAGAGTGGCAGCTGACTGCATTATAACAGATGTCTCCTCTCTTACTGATATTGACTAGAAGTCCATCCACGGAAGCAATGGATTTACAGAATTAAGAGGAAAAATTCTCTTGTCCCCCTCAACACAGTTTGTTTAATGCACCTCTTTGGTACAGTATCTGTGTATGGGCACATTCTTTTAAAGTCCAAATACATTAGCAGATTTACAGTAAACTGCCTTAAATTTTTATTCTGTTTTATTACTTATTTCTCATGCATATATCCTAAAATGGAATATATTTTCTCAAGTACACGTTCTCCACTACAGCTGGAGTGTTAAACCATTAGTGATATAGATGATTGTCAGCTCCATCAGAGTGCTTACTAGTGTTCATGGACTAGGTGCATGGTTATTTATGGATGACAGCAGGACATTCACACCTACAGGACAAATATTCTAACAAATGTCAGGTGAATCAAGAGCAATTATAGGAGATAAGTAGCTTTATAGCTTTAGAGTGGTTGGTATGAACACAGATAGAAACATTCACACTCATTGAAAAAACAAAACAACAAAAGACTTTATTATTATCCCCACCAAAGCTACGCCAAATTCGTATTCAGAATCTAAACAGAGGAGACATGTAAAAATCACTGTGAATGAATTATTTAGCCATTTAGTTTCCCTTGAGGTAGGAAAAGACATATCTTTTATGAAGACATTAAAGAAAAATGAGACTCCACTGATACTGGGTCAGTAGACAGCAGGGTTGCATTCATTTCATATGAGCAAAGCCTAAGGGAGTAGTGTATGTTAGTCATCAAATTTAGATTTGAACTTGTGAGCCAAACCTGCCTTTAACAGAAAGGCAATAGATCCAGCACACTTTGGGAGTGAGGGAATATTCTTTGCATTTTTGCAGCAATTAGTAATGGAGGTTCAGGAATGAGAGAGGGTTTTGTGATGGATTTGTTTGGTAAGGGCTGAGTCTGACCAGATTGCATTTTTTTTTCTGAAAATACAAGAAATTCTGCACATCAGTCTCAGTATAAAGAGGGCATCTGCGTACAGAGAATGCAAAGATATTTTAACTGGAGCAAGGTGACATATCACCTTGTCACATACTTCCCTGTTATCCAGATAATAATTTATTTTGAGAGAAATGCATTTTGAACTTTCCTTGTTGCTACAAATGTCACTGAAAGGTATCTTTGCATATCTATTTTTGTCTTTCCAATTTTTGATAGCATCAGCCTTCCCTGACTTTGATTCTAAGGAAAGGAAGGTCTGTAGCAATTGCAGTTACTAAATAAGACAGCTATGTGCCAGCTTGCCTAGTGTTTCCCTTCATCTTTGCCTTTCACCCTAAGGTATTATAATTCAAGTACCACAGCTGAGAATTGACTGATACTGTAAAATCTCAGCAGAGAACCAAAAGCCTTCCCCTAAATGATGATATGTTCTGGGAGCTGTGGTTCAGGTCCACGTTTAATTACAGTACAGTTCTTGTGATAAAGATATGTCATATGTGGCAAGACATTCAGCAGCCAATTCTGAGGAAACTATATAGGCATACTCAGATTGTCAGAATTTACCTCATTCCTCTCTGTGCAAATTGAAATCTGTCATCAGTAACTTGTTTGCTGTTATTGATAACAAAGATAGGGAATTTAAAACTATCTAGCTCGCTTATATCTAGAAAAAAAGTCTGTGATTTTGTAATTGCAATGTAGGAGTACTTTTGTTTCTAGTCTGTAGAAAAACACTGAAATGGTGTGGGGCACCATACTGGGCTCTTGCTTTACTCCAGGTGAAAAATGTAAAGAATGTCATACTCCTTAAGACAAAAAATGATGCAACATTGGCACAAAGCATTTAAAATTCTTTGAGAAGGAGTTTGTTTACAGTTTATGGTTCCTTTTAGCAAATTGGATTGGAGGAGGAAGTTAGAAACCTAATCTGCAAAATCATCTTTGGTGTCACAAACAGGAGGTTCCCTATTGGTAATATTCATTAAAGACTGTGTGGATTACTTACCTGTATAGGTTCCTAGCAGAGTGTAGATTAAGGAAGTCGAGGGTCCTGCTGATCCAGTCGTGTTGGTGGCATCACTTGTCATGCAGTCATATGCTCCACAGCATGCCAGATCTTCCTCTGAGATTTCCTCTAAACCAGTAAGAAACAGAAGAAAGGCTGAAGAGAGGAAATCAGATGAGTGCAGACTACGAACAGGGATATAATGAGAAAGCAATAGAGTGTTCAGTCACTGTTCAATTGGTCATGGCTTCAAATCCCTTACAACCAAAGTCTAACTCCAGAATGAAAACTTACTGTACCTGAAACAGTTTATCAAGACAGAGCACTTACTGGTTGCAAGAAGACTCGACACAGAGGGTTAAATCTGGGTCCAATCTCAATTTTCAGTATTTAAAATTCTAGTATGCACCTGTACCTCCTAATCATAATACCCCAATTTCCTAGGACAGATTTCTTAGTTTACAACATCACTGAACTGTGAGACATAAGTTTGACAGCCACAGCCCACTGTCCCTCTCCAGGTAATTTCTGCATGTTTTCCAGGAACTGAGACCACCTGAAGAAACCTTTTCACACTATAAAATTAAATGTCAATTTAATCAAGTCTTCCAAAGAATCAGCTTTTCTTGGCTTTATTGCTATTTGAGAACACAAAAACAGTTTAGCAGGGTCTGGAGTAAGACCTTTGCATTGTTTAATCTCTTTGCTCTTGTGCTGGGCATATGCCAAGGATACATCCATATGCATATCCACACACTGGGTGTGTCACAAGACATTATGCCCTCTTCCTCCTGTACTCTTTCTGTATAGACAAAGTTCTAACCCAAAGCATGTACCTCAACAAGCTGTGGGTATTGCAGGAGGAGGGTCAAAAAACAGTCTCCCAGTTATTTCGGCATTTTTTTATTGCAGAATTTGTTATTGGTTCAAGCAAAATAAATGGCAATGCAATGTATCTGGGTTGATTCCTTAAAGAGGACTTATTGCACTGTTTTGGGCAACAGAACTTCAGCAAAATTACCACACCGAAAAGATGAGTCACATACAAAATAATGAATGAAGACTGAAAGAGTAAAAACTAGTTTTCTCTCTGGTCATGAATCATGTGAAGATGTAGATGCACATGCAATTATTGATATGGAAGCTGCAAAGCAAGTTTTGCACTGCTCCTAAGAAATATGGTTGTAATACTGATGAGTGAGAAAGGATGACTATCATAATTGACACTGACTGCTGACTTCAGTTGTAGTGATACTTCATGGTGTACCTTGCCTAGCTGTGGTACGGATGCAGTGATGTCAGCAGTATGTCAAGTGCCAGTATGTGTCTGAGGCAAAGGAGTGAGTGCCATGGGCACCCTTACCCCCATCCAGAAAGATACCTGTAGACTAAAACTGAAGCATTTTCTGAAATCTCAAATAAGTAATAATGAATAAAATAATTTTCTTAGAATTTATAAATATGTACTTAGATATAACATGAAACTAGGGGAGATAGATATATAAGAAGGACAAGGAGGAAGAGGGCATAATGTTTTGTGATACTCCCAGTGTGCCCTAAAGTGAAATGCAAATGGGCACTCCTTTTTGAGACAGTGTATGGGTCAGTAATTAGGTCAGCATGGCTTGCTGTACTTGATACAGTCCTTTAGCAGTCAGCTTTGGTGTGACTATTTCATCTGTAGTTGCTTGAGTTTAAAGGAAGCCTCATTTTTCACAGGTTTAATGGGTCATGACAACTACCCTGCCATAACCCTAACAATGCAAGGTTTAAAACCTGATGCCAGCACTCTCAAATTTGTTTAACATAATACATATCTGAACACCTTCCAGAGGACATGTTGACTGAGCCAGGCAGAGAAGTAACTTCTTGTAATGTATAGTAGCAGTATGTATGGGAAGATCCTTTGCTTGCTTCCATCCTATTTCAACTTTGATAGGATAGAGACTGAATGCAAGACAGTACAACAATAATACGATAACATTGTGAATCTCTAAGTGGTGTCCAGGTATTAATTTATCTTAATAACCATTCTTTAAAAGAGTGCCACAATTACAAGCATGGGAAATTATAGCAGTGTTGTTGAATGATTTCTTCAAACTACATCATATCTGAATGTGAAACATAACAGAGGAGTCTTGGCATGTAGGCCAAAACAGTTTGGTAAAGCATTAAATTTTACTAAGCACCAACATTAGTTTGACTAACCTTGAGCACAAAATTAATTAAATACTACAAGTTTCCTGAGTCATCTGCTTCAGAGTTTTGCTTTTTGTTTTAATTCATTTTAAATAAAAGTCAGATCTGAAAGACCATCTCTGCCAGGAGCCAATCCATGCTTTATTACACAGGGGTGCAAGCAAAAAGCAATTCAATAGACACCTATTTCCAAACTAGTTTTCTAAATTCCCTATGCAGAGATGATTGAAAACAGACACTTTCAGAGAGCAATTTAACTGAACTCTTCCAGACATCTACCTCCTGATGAGTTAAGTCACATCAGAAGTGCCCATTTATACTGACTATGAAGGAGATTGAGGGTCAGTAGTTCAGCTATAGAGATTCGCTTGTAAATCATCCAGAGCTAGTTGATACATACAGTAGAAAGAAATGACATAATATCTAAATATATTTTACCTTTGTTGGAAGATTGACCAAGTATCAGGGATGAGATAAGATTTCCCCAGACTCCAGAGGACTGAAACACCAGAAAGAAGACCCCAAAATATTGGTTGATAATGTCTTTTCCAATTTTTCCTGCTTTCTCAGCATATGAATTGCCAGCAATGGTGAGGTAAGTGCATTTGGCAGACCAGAGCGGCGCTCCTCCTAAGCCTAGTATCACAGAAGTAGGGATCAGTGTGTACCTGCCAAAGAACATTTATTTAGCAGTTATCATCTCTTAGCATAATAATCATCTGCCCAAAGATCCAGAGCATCCTTCTTTTGTGAGATTCAACAAATTATTACATGAAACAAAGAATGAGCCGACCTTGAGAAGCTTAGGGTCTGACAGCACTCCCAGATGTGTCTAGAGACTGGCTAGGTCTGTGCTCAATGCCCTATCCCCTTGCAATTGAGAACTAGATTGCACCTGTCTCTGGGAAGACATAGATCACAATAACTTTCCTCTTTGGAATTATATTCCCCTTTCACTGAAGAGCAGAACTGCATTGTCCTTCCACCTGAGAAAGGGTAAGGCAGGAGCTCACTTCCTCACGTGCTCCCAGAGGTGCTAGTTGAAGGTTTGAAGGTTCACCTTGTGTCTTTCCAAAATAGTTTTAAAAGGCACTTAAAAGGTATTTGGATTTTAAATGAAACTTTTGATTTTTCTTCCCTTTTTTTTTTTTTTCCTCCTTTCCTGAAGGGAAATCTCTGCTGCAAATGCTGGTTAACAAAGCGGTTTCACGTGGATCAGTGGGGGGATGCATTCATTCTGGCTCTTACATCTTTGCATCACTCTACTCCACCTGGTGTCAGATTTATTCCTTTTTCTTGTAGAAAACACCTTTTGAGTAGCATCCAACTTGCAAATCTAGAGCATGGAAGCAGGGTAGAAATGGACAGAAATAGAACTTCGCCCTAATGGTTATTTAGTCCAAACACAATCGACAAGTATTTTAAACTGAACACTAGTACCAGCTAGCGTAGAAGTTGCCTAAGGAGAATGAAATGTAGCAGCACATAGAGCCTGCGATAGTCCACTTGCAGCCCAGCTTCTTGATGAGGATTGGAGGGAGGAACATGGACGAGAGGATAAGAGCAGCGTAGACAACACTTAGGGAAGCAACACCCAGGCCTTCTTCTGAATGGAGACTGCTCTGCAATGACAAAAACAATGATTCACACAGACTTTACTACAGATATATGTTACTCTTGTGTATGAAGACTGGCTTCAGGCAGAAAGAGACAGAGAAACTGGGACTTGATTTTACTATCTTCCTTCCCCCAAACAGTCTGATTACAGATTTATCATTTTCCTCACAATGGTAGCCCACTTATGAAAATCTGCTTCAGATCTAGGTGAGGATTGTGAATTTGGGGCTCAGATTCAAAGTTTTAATAGGGCAGATTTTAAATTATTTAAGTAATTTGAAATTCTCTTTGAGAACAAGCTGAGTGCAAAATAATCTCTTTTCTTGGTTTGGCTCAAGCAAGTATACCCTTAGAGCTATATTGCAAGTGATGACTCAAAAAACCAGCAGAAGATTCTTTACTTTTAATAGGTCAATCACTTTTAAACTTGGAGGTAAAGGTCCAAAAAACCTAGTAGGCTCATAGTAGCCCTTTGTAATTGAAAATACTTGAATCACACACACTTTCACAAGGGAGGAACATGATTTTAAGGATATAACCTGATCTAGCCACATCTGGAATGCTGTCCAATTCTGGGCTCTCTAGTATATGAAAGACATGGATTTACTAGAGCAAGTCCAGCTAAGAGTCATATGAGGTGAAGGGATGATCTGATCAGTGTGTATAAACATCTGATGGGAGGGTATAAAGAAGCTGGAACCAGACTCTTCTCAGTGGTGCCTAGTGATGGGATGAAAGGCAATGGGCACAAACACAACAAATCCCACCTGAATGCAAGAAAACAGTTCTTTACTCTGAAGGTGGTTAAATATTGGACTGAGTTGCTCAGAAAAGTTGTGGTAACTGCAACTTTAGGGATATTAAAAATATGACTGGACACAGTTCTGGACTACCTACTCCAGCTGACCATGCTTGAGCAGGAGGTTTGGACCTGAGGGTCTCCAGAGGTCCCTTCCAACCTCAACTATTCTGTTGCTCTGTGATTTCATATTTTTATTTTCAATATATTTCTCATATTATCTTCATAATGTGAAAGTTAAAATGAGAAAATTAAAATGGGTCCTATCAACATTTTCCCTTGTTTTCATAAAAGCTAACATGATCCCATAAGGTTTCTGAAGGAGGAGTTGTTGCTGGGAGCTGATACTGGAGAATTCTGGAGGGCACCATGGCTGCCAGTTGCAGCACCGAACTCTGTTGAGCCCCTTGGTGCTTGCCATGGTCCAGTGGAGCAGAGATACATCAGCAGCCACACAGCTCCTGCAGCAGGAAGCAGGCATCAGGACAGCGGCATGAGGAGGTACTTTTCTTCTGTTAAACAATGCTTGTGTCAACATATTTGGGAATTGAAACAGCTGGTTTGTAAATGTGCAGAGAATATTCCTGATCACAGAGATATTATTTAAGACCCAGATATCCAGCATGTTTTCGTCAGCTACAGCTTCTAAAAATTAGGAGCTAGGCTTCCAAAATCATAAGATTAACTTAATTAATACCAGGGTTCTTTGGTGGGAAGGGGCATGTTGAATAGATTACTCATATTTTTAATGTTTTCCCCTGCAGGATAGCCTACTTTTTGCTGAGTTTCAAGAAGTCTTTCCTAGCCACCAAGGTAACATGGAGAATCTACACCACTCGCTCCTGCTGCAGGGGTGGAGACTTACGACCCAGGACTACCTCTGGAACTGTTCATAGATTCAAATGGTGAGATCACTCCATAGCTTCCTGTGTTTGACATTTTCCCTCTTGTTAACCCGCCCAGCTCACAACATCCACATCCACTTTTGCAATTGTTTCTGCAGAATTGTCCTGAGCTTGGAATTTGACAGTGTCAGTGAGCAGAAATCAATCTAGGAAAGGAAAATAGGTGTACGGGATTGCAAGGGACTGCCTCACGAAATGAGATCAGCCCCTTGTTATTGTGGAAAAGTATATCATTATATAAGAAAGGAGAAGTTAAACATACAGCTTCTTAAGCTAGTTGCTTAAGCAGTTGCTTAAGCAGTTGCAATAGCAATTGCTTTTTTTTTTTTTTTCCTCTGTGCTAAACAGCGCAGTTCTGGTGGTTCCAGACCGTTCAAGTCATTTTAAGATGTTACAGTAAGTAGGTGTGACATCTGTTTATTTATAAAATAATATTTTTATTATTGTGTTAAATCATGACCTTAGGAGATATTGTATTATTTTATACGTACATAAATTCCTGTACTTAGTGCAATATAATAATAATAAAACTATACAGATTTAGAAGCATTCAAAAATATTTTCTGAAATAAAATTTGTTTTCTTTTTTGCAATATTTTCTTGTGAGAAAAATCTCACAGATGTTTAATTTTCATTCATTCAGCTTTTGTGGATGGAAAAAAAGGTCTGTCAGGAGTATTCAAACTATTTGAGAAGTACTAAAACACAGTATTTAGTAGATGCTATAGAGCTTGAGTGAGTGATATGAACCTTTAGCAAGCTGATGTCCTAACCTGCCTCATAAAAAAAAGGAAAAAAAAGCAAGCAAACAAACACAAACAAAAACAAACAAACAAATGAAAAATATGTGCCTTTCTCAGAGAAACCATGGAAATGCCTTCATGTTTCACAGGACCAGCTGGCTTGATACCCTTCCAGACTAGTTGTCCTGCCAACTAGAGGCAGATGCTACACTTACCTGTAAACTCTGGAGCCCTCCATAAGCAGTAAAGAGAAGCAAAAATCCAAAAGAGATGACCAAAACATTCTTAAAATTTCGTTCCATATTGATTCATACAAGAAAAAGGTCAGTGCAGAGAGTTGATTTGATTATTCCACGGGATGCTTTAAAAGGGAAGAAAACAGTTTATGTTTTGTTGGAAAATTTCACTCCTCACTGCATATGTAGTGGAAAGAATTGTTAATTATTTGAAGATTGGCCAATGATGAACTTTACTTTCTCTGATAATGAAAACTCCTTATGAGAGTTACTCATTCACCTGTTGTGACTGGGAGGCAATAATGAATGCTCTTGAAGGAGCATTTTAGGTAGGTTTATTCTTGATATTCGGGCAATATAAGTCACTTGCAATACTTAAACCAATATTGCAGTTATGCATTATATGGTTCTCTCCTATCACTATAAAGATACACTAATCAATAAAGGGCAAAGATTAAAGGATAGCCCAGAAATCTATTATTGGCTTATTGCTTAACTATGGTTGCAAAACACTGCTAGCAAACCAGAGTGTTTGTATTAAAGTGTCACCTACAAACAGCATTTCTATAGCAATGCAGCACATCAGATTAAAGTGGCTGGCTGCTGGGCAGATAGAAGATTTTTCATCCATATTGGAATTCTATTATGGCTTTGCTGTTCCAGCATTACCAAGTCATATTTGTGAAGATCATTTCCCTGATTTTTTGCAGCTCAGAAGCCAAGAAGAAATATGGGTCTAGTGGATAAACAAGAAACCACCCTCAACCCATGTTCTTCCTCCCCAAGCCATCATCAAAAAAGTCCACCCTCTGCAGGATGTATTTTACCTTTTTACCTTCCTAGCGCTTCTTGGCTTATGGAGTAAAATGTTTATTCTCATCAGTCTCTAGTGTTTCCCTGTTCTTTTCTCTGTTTCAGATCCTTCCCTAGTGAATTTGCACTGCCTACTTGTTCAGTGGTATACAGACTATCTGCAAAACTTCCTGCAGTAGAGGAGGAATTTCAGTTAGAGAGCAAAATGGAAGAAGCCCATGCCATAAACTAAACACAAGCAAGTAGATGTGACCTACAGTCTAGTGGGAATATGCAGCTGAGATTTGGTCTAAATCCCACTAGATGGCACAATTCTGCTTCCCTTAGGGATTTTTGGAGGCGAGAGGAAGAAGTTTTAACATATTCATTCACTTAATACATTAAAGAGGTCACTGTTTTTTTCTACTTTTGAGAAAACTCCAGTTCATTTTCTTATTTTGTCTTGTAATCGCCTTGTGTGCATTAAGATAGAAAACATAACCTTATAGTTACATTTTATTAATGGCGCTTCTGCAAGCCTAGATAGATAAAATTGTCTTTTTATTTTATAGATGACTAGACACAACATACAAACAGTTTCAAATAGATCACAGTGCTAGTCGTGTTTTGTGGTGTTTGTAGTCCTCTATAGGGTTTATAGAGCAAACTGCTGGCACTTTGACCTTTTGAATCTTTTTAGGCTTATGAACTTCTGCAAACTCCCAGTGCACATGCCTGCATAATAGGTTTACATCTGGTGATAACATGCTTGTTTATTTTCAGGATCCTTGAAAATATTCTTCAAACAGCTAGGAGTTTCAGATTATAGGTTGAAAGCTCTAAGAAAATATACAAATAATACCTACTCTAAACAAAGTATAGTTATCACATGCTCAAACAGATGCAAAACCAAGTGTTAGTGCAAAGCACGCAACACTAAACCTTTAGTTTAATAATATTTGTTGTCATTAACAATACTGATAAGAACACTTAAAAAAAAACTTAGCTTGATGGGGATTTTTTTTTGACTGATCAAAGATATTTAGGGCTGTTCTATAATCCTTCCTCAGAGCTTTGGGTTATCCAACTACCTGGTCATGAGCCTCTTCTTAGGAATGTGGAGAATCTTTACCAAAGAAATCTGATAAGGCTGAGGAACTCTTCATTTGGTACCATGCAGTGAGTGCTCCAGCAGGCCTGGTGTGCATCACCCTTGACACATCTTTCATTCTTTCTGTCAGTTTAACCAAGATTAAGTGAGCCCCAGGATCTGCACATTGTATTTTGGGCTTAGCTTTTGCACAGCAGATGGCAGTCACCAGAATCTGTGTGATCACAAAACTAGGAGGTGGAAGAGGCTAGTTAAATTCATGACTCCATTCCACAGCCAACTGTGTTTATTTTCTAAGGTGAATATAACTGATGGCAGGCTTTGCTTAAAACACTATAGAACCAGAAATTTTGTGTTTTTGTGCTTCATCATTATCTATCCTTCCCTTTTTACTGGCTAATTATATTGTTTAGGCAATTATTTTAACAAGAAAAAAAACATCAAAACCCAGACTACTCACCAAAGGCCTCTCTGTCATAGGAGTCAGTTGACTGATTAGTTCCTTCACTGCGCCCAGTATCCCTTGAGTGTGCCTGTGGAAAGAATGAGTATACACCAGTTGGCTGATAATTTGGCCACCAGATATTACAGCCAAATGTTGCAAGAGTTCTCAGCTAGTCCTAACTAACAGTTGTCTCCAAGGAATAGACACTGAGCAGTAATTGCAGAGGACGGGTGCTTGCCTGATGAGGGAAGAGTGGAGACACAGTTTGCATACTCCCACTTGGAGAGATATTCATGCCTTTTTTTCGATGGTGAGGGCATTACAGATGTCCTAGAGGGCAACATCGGGACAGAGGCTGTCCAGAGTTGTAGCAGTACTACAAAGTCTTAGCATACTAGCTTGTGCTGCAGCTCTTATATGGGTGCTGCTATCTCTAAGCAGCTGGCAAAGCCAAGAGATTGCATAGTTTTACCTGGCAAGTTCAGGAGAATTAGCTAGCTAATACTCTCAGCTGGAACTCATGCTCCTATTATACAAATTCATTTTGTTAAGCAGACAAATCCTTAATTTTCTTCCAGATCCTTTTGTGTGGTAGTCAAGACCCTCCTTTAACACGTCTACTACCACCTCAAGCACTCACCTTCCGAGGCTGTCAAGCAGATGTTCTTCATAGGCTGTAGCAGTGTGAATGTCCTGAGGAAATAAATTACTTCTCCAGTGCGTAGACTACTGGTAAAACAGGCCAATTAGTGAGACAACATTAAATGATCTCGATACTAAACATCTTTCACCATTTGCAGCTTGTATTGGATAGCATGGCTTATTCCTTGGAGATTCCGGGCAACCATACTTTCTTCCTTAGTCCTTCTTTCTCAGGGAACAAGGCTGTCTTGAAACACCTGCAGCATTCCAGCCTGCTGAGTCCAATGTCTGAATTCTCTTTCAGATGAAAAGAGGGTAACTAAAATTCAGTACTACTACATAGAAGCAGCCTACCGATTGTTTTCTTTCCTATTGTGAAAGTCTGCTCCTCTGCCCTCCTGCACCTACTTTGATACAATGCTGATTTTGGAGATGAGGCAGAATTGCTAAATGCTAAATACATGACTTGCAGAGCTGTGCCATTCCTGACATGGGGTTCTTGATTTGGGGAGTTTACCTCAACAAGGTCAAGCTCACCTATTTCCTCAGGACTGTGCTCAGTTCTGTCTGAGTCACATTGGTTCTGGCTTCTCTTGAGGTTTGCGAGGTTGTGTTAGTACTGGTCAGGTAAGTGTTGCCTGGGACGCAGAGAAGCGTCAACCAGGAAGCCTGTTCTTTTGGCACTTCTAAAGGACACTCTCCTGGGATGCTTCTGATCTTGCTCAGATCTTTCAGGAAACAGTCCGAGTGTGCTCACGAGGGTTGCAGAACTCCTCTTCCTATTCCATCCTTGTTTTCTTTATTTTGTAAGCCCTTGACATGAGCCTTGAACTAAGAAACACACACTATTTAAGCAGACAGGGCACACACAACTTCCCTTGAGTAATTACTGTTTGAGTAATAACTATCCTGCTTGTATTCTTGTTTGCATATTCATTTATTATGAATTGTTAATATTTTACAGAAGTGATTCTGCTTCCAGAGAAGTGCACAGGGTGCTCATCAGAGTCACACTGTCCATTTCACAGAAACCATTCAGAAATATCAGAATGGTGAGGACTGTCAGTAACCCTTAACCTGATCTTGTGGGCTGTTATTGGGGACATGAAGGTGAAAAGTGGCATTTTATTCCAGAGCCATTTAGCAGGAGCAATCACTGCATACGGTCACATAACGGAGAATCCACCATGTGTCTGTGGGTAGATACTCCACTGCACTCTCAGATGTCTTTGGCATTCCTACATGAGGTAGGTAAAGCTTGGAGAAGTCAGTCTGATGAGGGGCCTAAAGACTTCCAGGTACTATAGGACATTTCTGGAGAACTGTGTAGGAAAAGCTTTCAGAACGGCAGGTGAGAAATTTGGAAGCAATATCTAGTTATAACTACAGTAGGCTTTCTATGATGAAAGGTGTATCTATTCTGTTTGCTAGGATTCTCTAAGACCAACAAGCAGGCCAGAGTGGATGGTGCCACAGTTTATATTTCTGTGACTACTTTAAGAAGAAATTTAAATATATTTAACTGTCAGAAATAATAAAAAATAATATTAAACTTGGATTCTTCAATACCATTCTTCAATCCCTCTGGAGGTATAGCATTTTTAATTATTCATCATTAAAGACTGAATTAATTAAGTATTGTCTTAAACATTTTCTTGCAGAGGTAGCATTTTAAGTGACTGTAACTATTTTTTTTAACAGACCAGTGGAAAGAAATTCAGAGTATTCTACAGAGAATCTTTATGTGTTTGCTCTGTACTGTACAAGTAAAAAGAATAAAATTAGGAAACAAAATCACATAACAGAAAGAAGGAGCACCACAGAGTTTCTTGCAGCTGTTAAAGAATAGCATGTAAACCAGTGACCTATCTTTCCAATTACGAAGCCCTTAAGTAATTGAAGTCTCCACATCTCTTAATGATTGCAAGCAGAAAACACACATTCACATCTAACTATTAAAGTAGAATATTCATGAAGAGGCTTAAAATAAACATATAAAATCCATGATACAAAGGTCTGTAATGAATGGTAATTAATTTTGATTTTCAGCCACAAATGATTTTGGCCTTGTGCATAAATACATCAGATTCCTTGTAGCCTGTCTTCCTCA